TGGCAACCAGTACATTCCGGCTGCTCTCCATATATTTCAAATCAAAATCCTCTCCCAGCTGCTATATGGAGCCCCAATCTGGATCGAGGCTGCTAATCAAGACCTTGATAAAGTCGCTGCCTCCTTTCTCAGAAGGATTCTTGGAGTCCCAAATCTAATTAGATTGTCCACATTGATACTCGAATTAGGCATGCACCTTCCCTCTACTATCGCTTGGTCCCTAACCTTCAAGTTCTGGCTTAGACTACACCTCAATACCCAACCAGATTCCATACTCAATGACCTACTAAAAGATCCCTTTTCATCCAAGTGGTTCAATATTCTTGATGCTAAGCTCGCATCCTTGGACCTCTCCCCCGAATCTCTTTCAGACACCACCCTTCACAGAGCCCATCAAATCATCAAATCTAAACTCTGGCAACAGGAACTCAATTTATTACTCCCCAATTTAAATCCTATTTGTTCCCCTCACTTCTTCGGCCTTTCCCCTTCACTCGGTAGACCCTCAAACTATTTTAGTAAATTAATTAATCCAAGTAAAAGGAGGGCTTTTATGCTAGCAAGACTAAACATTTTCCCATCAGCTGTTCACTTTGGAAGATTTGCAAACATACCACGCATCAATAGACTTTGTCTCTCTTGCTCATCTGAGCCCGATACCCTAGACCACATATTATTCCGCTGCCCGACTCATCAACGTTTAAGAAACAACGTTTCTTAAACCCCTTGAACCCCTTCTGTCGTCCCTTTTTGTTTCCCTAGCTGACCCCCTCCCCACCCTTTTAAGCGATTACTCGGCGACCATCACTAGCGTGGTAGCGGATTTTCTTTTAGCGGTCTCCAAGTCAAAACCCCTGCCCCATCCTCCCCCCGCATCACCTTCCCAGTTCTTACCTTGACGACCGTCCTTCTTGGTTTGTAACACTATGACATAAATTGTTACTGCTCTTTTATCCCCTTTTAATGCCAATAAAGGTTTTAAGGAAAAAAAAACATCCCAAGTATTCCAGAAGCCTAACTTCCATTTTTGAAACCCTGTCTCTTTTCAATATTTCTTCGCAACTCAGTTGTTTAGTTGCCGTTAAAAGGTAGTAATAAACTGATATGGTGGAATGCTTAGCAATCTTTGAGAGGGAGCATACGTTGTTCGTATGGAAGCCTTCAAGCTTTTGAATTTGTGATCAAGCAGAACAGAAAAGTTAAGAGTTTTATGCAAATCATTTTATACAGTTAGAGGTATTGACAGTAAATCAAATAACAACACTTTCTTGCACTCAATCCAGTAAAGACATCCTAGTCTTTGTCCATATGCTTCATCTTGAAAATGGATATATCATAAAAAATGTGACGTGACATTGTCAGATCCTGCTTTTTCTTGTGTTCCTGCACTCACTGACATAACAAGTAGGACTGTATTTTTTTTACCTCACAAAGCAAAATAGGAGGGTGGCAGAATGGACCACAGCAACACTGGGGGAGGGATCACCATTTTTGAACAATTCTGAATCATTCTGGATTTTTTTTTCAGTCAGCAGCCATACTCTAATTTAGAAAATAGTTACTCTCTTGGGAGTCACCAAAATTGTAGAAAATATCAAGAGCTCTCTTCAGTATGCCTTTATGTTGCAGCCTTGTGCTGGGATTTTGAGTTTATTGAGTTCATTGGGGCTTAGTCCTTGGTAAACACCAACAAATAGAAAGTTGCTTTTGTAGACTATAACTCGCAGACCACATCTGACCATACTAGCTGTGGGATTCTGAGAACCATGAAGCTATAGTAAGCACATTTTTTCCACATTCTGGTAAATACATAAAGGATCGTGGCCACAGTCACTATGGCATGAATTAATGTTCCGGATGCTACAGTCAGGAATCTATCGAAATAGGAAATAGCTTTATAAAGCTTACCTAAACAGAAAACTAGCCCGTCCTGCAGAAGGCTCATCCCTGAGGTATGGATACTGAGTCTTCTCTATTGTTGTAAACATCATAATATCTTTCTAGCCAAGGACAGTGATCAAAGAAGGGTATCCCAAATCTTCAGATACTAAACCTTTCATTACTGCCTGTAAAGGATTCTGAAGCCTTATTTTAAATGTAATGTGGTAGAAAGTGCTATGTTCCCCTTTGAGTACTTCGGTTTTCATTTCCTTCCCACAGTAATGGTAAAACAACTGCCTTGAATGGCTAAAATGGAAACTTAATTAGGTATATGGGATGATATATTACATTGTTAATTACAAGAGGTGTTGAGCTCGTTGACCTAAACAACTTGTGTGTGAAGGATTTTAAAAAAAACAAGCAACAACATTTAAATGCCTTAGAATACAATCTTCGAAGGCATTTCACTGTTCAACTCAAAAAATGTTATGCTCCCCTCCATTACTCCTTTTGCCTTTGGTGTGGTCCTCTAATGCACTGGTTCTTAACCTTGGGTTACTCAGGAGTTTTGGACTGCAACTCCCAGAAGCCTTCACCACCAGCTGTCCTGACTGGGGTTTCTGGGAGTTGCAGTTCAAAAGCATCTGAGTAACAAAGGTTAAGAACCAGTGCTCTAATGGAACTCACCAAGATTTTTATATATGGCTGTGACCTCAACAAAGATAGTTATATGTGGAAATAGGTGGCCAAACTGGAAGTCTCATTTTGAACTCCATATGTTCCCTTGTCTTGGTTTCATTGACTCCTCACAAAATTTGTTGGAATCCACACAAAGCTGTTAAGAGGAATTAGCAGTGAAAAGTGTTTTCATGTACAAACATTTTTCACCATCTGGAAGCTATGGCATTCAGATAAAGTTTTGTCCAGAGCTAAAAAGCCTCAATTTCATGGTTATTTTAGCTTGTAAACAGCTGATGTTTACTTATTGCCACTTCCTCTGCCTCTTAAGAGCCTGGGTGACTTAATAATTCAAAGAGAAAATGAAGAATATTAATTGTTTCACTTGTTTTGCATTTCTCCTAGTGTATGTGTAGAAGGATTCACAGAAATGGTGGACTAGTTTCTGATAAGACGGGATGGAACTGAGAAGATTGGGAAACAAGGAAAGGATCCAGATAGATTTGTGTAAAGTAAATTAAATAAAAGAAACAGGTAGCACAGGTAGCAACATTGTTGTCTTGAAAAGTCTTGCACAAAATATTTGCATGAAATAGGACACTAGAGAATCACCAGAGCCCAGGCTAAGACTGAACAGTTTACATATTTTTGGAATCAGTCCTAACTAGTTTGGAAAAAGAAACTGCCAGAATTTTAAATCTTGAAGTCCAGTATTAGGATTATATAAGATTCTCTCACCTAGTTCTGGCTTGCCATGCAGGGAGCATATCATACACTGTATTTATAAGATAGCCTTCATGATACAGATTTATGCTAAAAGTAACCTAATGTTTCTGACAGCTCAAGTGTGACATGAATAGAATCTATATTTCTTGGAGAAACTAATCTAAGCTGTTTATTTTCCAATGCTGCTGATAGGGCTATATCTCTTAATGTCACAGCGGTTGAGATTTTGATGGTAACATATTGTTTGTGGGTCACTGCTTTTGTCTAAAACAGTAGGTTAGAACAGAATAGCAAAGGTTAATTAAGTTTGTCTATCAAGGTGGGACAGATATGGATGATGCTTGGCTTTCTATTGTTGAATTCTGGGGAGACGTCCCATTGGAGAGGGGTGGACTCTTTTATTTCTTTCTGGGTGGAAACGAATTCAGCTTGTTTTAAAGCTAGAAGTGAGCTACTCTAAACAGTTCTTATGCGTTAGTTCTTAGCAGTATAAACCTATAGCATGGTAATTATGAAACTTCTACCCCTGCTTGAAGGTGCAGATCAAGAAGAAAAGACTTGTGGTCTTCAGATGTTGTTGGACTCTAGCTCTCATCATTCTTAGCCCTCATACATGTTGGAAATGGGTGATGGAGGTTTTAATCCAGCAACATCTGGAAGACTGCATGTTTGTCACCTTTCCTGTACAGTACAGAGAAAAGACTATGGAAACATCACAGTAAGTTTATTGGGGAAAGGAAGAAATCCTCTAATACATCATACCCCTCCCCCAAATGCAAGCAAAATGGAATATCATGAAGACCAGAAGTAAAACTCTTTCATATGAATTAATGAACATTTGGAATTGAAGTCTGTGGAGAAGAAACACAGTGGGTAAACTGTGAAGTTGTATAATTAAAGAGAATACCTTCCCCATTCAGCTTCATCAGCTGCAGGTTATTAATACAGACATCTTCACTGGAAGGTGTCAAGGATTGCATCATTTAG